TGAACAGCGCCTCCAAAAGTATCTTCGTATCCGAGGCCCACATCTGTGAGGCATACGAGCGCTACTTAGTTATGGACCGATACTATGCCCAACGCATCGGACATAAAGCTGTCATAAATACTCCCATATTTAAAGACACCAAAACTCCGGACCCTTTCGTCGAGATATTCAACGACACGGAGTCTAATAGAGCGGCAAAAGTGGATCACATTTATATGGACGAGACACTGTTTGGTGCGGCGGCCAGTTGTCTACAGGTATGCCTATGACTGCAACATAACAAAAACTATGGTAAAAATGATTGAAACTTAATTATAAAAATATACTTTACTTTAGGTAACAATGCAGGCGACAGACGTGTCCGAAGCGTTCACACTATACGACCAGTTGAATCCATTAACGCCCATAATGTTGGCATTGAGTGCCGCGACCCCTATTTTCAGGGGCTAATTGACGGATAATGACTGGACCGACCGGACGGCTGAGGAGAGGGGAGAGAAGCCATTGAAACACAACGCATACCGTATTCCCAAATCCAGGGTTTCGCCGATCAATACTTATTTGTGTGAATCAAACGCCGAATACAATGACAGTCCGATTGTTTATAATAAGGAGTATTACAATGAGATGATCAGCGCTGGCGTCCCCTCACCGCTGGCCCAACACATCGCGTACCTCTTTATTCGTGATCCGGTTGTTATATCACGTGATAAATTAGATCAAGACTTGGAGACAGAGTCGGAACACTTTGAGGGCATTCAGTCAACTAATTGGCAGACAATGAGGTTTAAACCGCCGCCTCTTAACCAACAGTCCATCGGTTGGAGAGTAGAGTTCCGTCCGATGGAGATCCAGATGACGGACACACAAAACGCCGCCTTTTCTGTGTTCGTTATATTGTTGTCCAGAATTGTATTGAAATATAAACTTAATTTCATTATTCCTATCTCTAAAGTAAGATTGAAATAAATGTATTAATTATATATTAATATTTATTAACTATCAACAGATACACCAAAACATAACAACAGCCCTTAAGAGGGATGCCGTCAATAGATGCAAATTCTGGTTCAGAAAAGACATCTTCACTCAAAATACACCACAAATTAATTGTTTCAAAGAAAATAGAAACAGATATG